TGCAGAAAGAAAGAGGCTACAAAGTGCTGGGCTCTGTATAGGACATCTGTGTCGTGCTCTATCCATTCAGAGTTTAGGAATCATTGTAAAAGAGGGAACAGAAAGATTGTAAGAGCCAAATGCGGTGAATAACTACAAAGAAACTATTTTCTGGACACATGACACAATTACATATATAAGCCCATAGTGATCATTACAGCATGCACAAAACCTTTGTAAGCCCAAGTATACAAAATCCTAGCACAGAGGTGGGAGATAAGCAATAAGTCCTAGACCTCACTGAGAAACTACTGGCAATTGATAGCTGCTGGGAGAGGGAGAGGGAGGTTTCGGTAGAGGTGCGTGGCTGGGTATGTTGACCAGACTCCAAGGGATGGTTCTATACCCAAGAGCAAAAGTAGGCTTGATAAGCCTTAAAATAGGACAGAATGCATGAAATCCAGTGGGAAGGTATGGGGGGCATGTAAACAAATGTAAATTTGTTTAAGATTATTATATGAAATGCACAAAAACTCAATAAAAATATTTAAAAGAAAAATACAATTGAGGACATGAAGTCTGGGGTGATATAGAGGGGGGTAGGGTAGATCTAAGAGGAGGGGGAGAGGGTATTCGACTCTGTTCAAAATCCATGAAATTCTCAAAGAAGCAGTAAAATACTATTAATAAAATCAATAAAAGGTGCTGTAGCCCAAAGATGACCAGAGACTCATCAGATGATAGAAAGAGAAGAAACTGCTACATCTCAAATAATAAGGGGAAACATTGAAGACAGGCAAAGAAAAACATCATGTACACATATTTCCAGACACAGGAAAAATGGACATGTATTATTGTAAACGAGGCAGACTACAGGACAAGGGAGGTGCATCTTTAAACCACTGTAAGGTGAAGCAGAAAACTCCTATCTAGAAATCTATACCTAGTGAAAAATCTGAAAAATGTTGATGCCTAGATTACATAAGGGACTCCAAAAACTCGATAGCAATTAAAAATAAGCAATATCCTTAAATAGACACTTTTCTAATGAAGACATACAGGTGTCCAACAGGTTTCTGAGAAAATATTCAACTATTTATCTGGGAAATGCAACTCAAAACTACAATGAAATATGACCTCACTTTCAGTAAAAATAATTGCTGTCAAAAAGACTAATAGATGTCACTGAGGATGAAAAGAAAAAGGAACACTTTTGAGTTGATATTTCTTTATGGAAAACAGTGCTAGGCTACTCAAAACTTAAAAATAGAACAACCATATGTTCTAGTGATCTCGTCACTGGGTGTTTATCCAAACGAAAAAACATCAGTGTGTGGAAGACGTGTCTGAACAGACACATTTATTGCTGCACTATTCACAGTAGCCAAGAATTTGAAACAACCTAAGTGCCCATCCCTTTAGATGAAGAAAATGTACACACAATGGAATGCTTATCTGGTCATAAGAAAGAATAAAAGCCTGTCATCTGTGGCAAGGAAATCATTATGCTAAGTGAAATAAGGTTCAGGATCTCAGTCAGATGAAAAGGTTGCCAACAGAATGATGGTTACCAGAGGTTGGTTCCAGAGGAGAGTGGGTGGAGGGACAGGTGTAGAAAGGTTGCTAACCTAGAGCAAGGTTCTGATGTACTAACAGTACAGTGGTAATAGATAACACTGATGTGCTGAATGCTTCAAAAGCGAAGAGAGGACTTAGAAAATGTTTGCCATGCATCAATGATCAATGTTTGAGAATAGGTATGTTTAACTTTATTTAAGTACTATATATACGTTGCATACATATGGAAATGCCCATCCCACGATCGCCCATCACGTGATTGACCATCACATGATCACCCAATCATAAGTACAATTTTTAGTCTTCAATATCTAATTTAAATAAATCTAACTTAAAAAGAAATTTACACTCAGGAAAATTTCTTACCAAAATGAGCAATTGCAAAAACCAATATATAGGGGGCTGCTGGCTCAGTGGTTAAGAGTACTTGCTGTTCTTCCAGAGGAAGAAACAGGGAAAACAACTCAAAACATTTGTATGGGCAAAGATGTTTTCAATATTATCCCCCAAATACAGTAGACAAAAGACATAAAATGGCAAATGAATTGTATCAAACCAAAAAGCTTCTAGTTAGCAAAGGAGACAATTATTAAAATCAAGATACAACCTTAATGGGAGATGGGAGAAAACCTATTCTTACAAGGGATGAATTATTCAAAGCATATGCTGTGCTCAGTAACAAGGGGAAAAACACAATAATCTGAAAAGTACAATTGTCTGACTACAGATGTGAATAGCCAACAAAATGTGAAAATATGCTTAAGAACCTCTAATAACCAGGGAAATGTAAATCAAAACTTCAGTGAGATATTATCACATATACCACTTTATAGGACTTGTTACCAAAATCAACAAATGAAGAAAAAAATTTCCAAGGCTAGAAAAAAGAAGAAAAAGTAATTTAAGTCATAAATAATTTTTAAAATAATAACAAAATGGTGCTCAAGAGATAACTCGTCAGTTAAGAATACTGGTTGTTCTTGCAGAGGACCCAGGTGCAGTTTCCAGCATCTACATGGTAGTTAACAACTACTGGTAACTTCAGATCCAGGGGATCCAACTCCCCCTTCTAACATCCACTGGCATTGCATGACATGAGTGCATTTACATACATGCAGACAAAACATTCGTAGACATAAAATTTAAATTTTTAAATTTAAAAAATCTTCAAAAATATCAGGACTCCATAATGAAGTGTCTAGATAATTCTAGACACGGAGATTGGGAAATTTGCAAGTTTCAAAAAAAATCCCTACACATTATGTAAGAATGTGTGTATTAACATCATTCATCACCTTCACTAGTGTAGTAGGAAACTCTGACTCACCACAGAAATGACTAATTAGATGGAAAAACCCATTAGAATTAGGGCAGGAGAGATATCTCAGAGGTTAGAGTGCTGACTGCTCTTGCAGGAGACCTGGGTTTGATTCCCAGCACCCACACGGTGACTAACAACTATCTGTAACTCCAGTTCCAGGGAATGCAATGCCTGGTGCCCTCTTCTGACCTCCACAGCATTGCACAACACAAGTGCACTTATATGCATGCAGGCAATACACTCATACACATAAAATAAAAATAATAAATAGATTTAAAAAAAAACTCAAAACCCATCAGAAGGAACTTTTGTCAAACTACGGAAAATTAAAAAAATTGTGAGACCTTGATTCTTAAGGTGGCGAAGGGACCATTGTGCATTGAGGGGGCAACTCAAAGATTCTCTCTAGTATTCCTTCCTTCCCTTGTGACTATGCATTCCCAAATTTAAAAAAAAACAACCTCACAGTCCTTGAAGAAAGCATTCTAAGTTTCTGAATATACTGTCAATTCTCCATCCAAATGCCATTATCAACAGTCTAATCAAACTTGCCCTCTGCTTGGTGGGTAAGTCTGGGTTTTTTCCCTCTTTTTTAATTGCTTGAGACCGGAAGGGTTCCTAAGATAGAGGTGACCTTCAGACTTGGTTCAGGAACAAGCGAAGCCCAAAGAAGAGTTTTAAGTGGCTTAGGTCTTGAAGATGTGTCTCAAACAGAGACCAATGTCCATCAGTGGGTGAATAGACAAACTGGTACGTTCACGTAGTAAGGTACCAGCAACAATAAGGTATGAAAAGACCCCGGACATAATGCAGCAGCTTTATGGGGGTTCTGAAAAAGAAAACAGACAGGCAAAGGAACTCGGAATTTGAGGAACAACATAGTGAGTTCCATGGGCCTCCTAATTGCTTTCTGTGTATCCTGTTTAGGGACTGCTAACTAGAAACTTGCGATATGGACACAAAAAAGCTCCAACGAAAGCTTCCATAGTTGCACTCTAGGATAACATTGGATCAGTGTGCCCATTGGCTCAGAATACACCCAGTTTGTATCTTCCAACTATCTCTGGTTTATTTGAATTATTTGTTTGAAATTTTGACTCCAAGAATCATTGTCACAGAGATGCATGGACTCCAACCACAAAAGGCGGGAGTTGTGTTTCTGGAGAAGTGTACCCTGCTTAGTACTCTGCTCCATACAGCTGAAACAACCATGGTTTGATGGAAGTACTGTCATTTTTCATTAATAACTACTACATCAAAACAGTGTAAAGCTAAGAAGGACATTTTTGGTTAATGGTGTACTTTGAGTGACATCAGAGTGTTTCTAGGACCTAGAGGTGAATTAAGGGCAGAGGTTTGAAAGAACTGCCTTACTTTTACTTGTTACAAGTTATTTTCCATATTTCAGTCCTACAAGAAAAACTACATGGAAAGCTGCTTGCTTAAGTGCTGTAATAAATGAGTAGCACTCTAGAATGGATAGTGTATAGCTTCCAATATCTCCATTTACTATTTTTTGAAACCGCAATGAATCAGGCATCTTTTGTGTGTGTGATAGCTACTTAAGAATTCTACACATACAGGGAAGTGACACTAAGCTAGATCTTTGTCTTAGGACGTGAAATATTAGTCAAGCGGTGCCCCAATACAAAAGGCAGAGACAATCATCCATCATGATTAAGTTCACTTAGCATACATTATGGAATAAGAATTTAGACAAAACCTTCCACTTAACTTCTTACTGAAATGCAGCAATAGCAGTCTACTTCAGCAGTCAGTGTCCCCCTTGGAGAGCTGACATGGTCATTCTGCATCAAGCAAGACACGACTGAATACCAATTGAAAATCTGAAAGTAGACATGAAATGGAATGCTTTCTTTCTACTTCATCTTTCAATAAAGAATAAAGCATGGTTCTTTTCAAAGCTTGTGGCCAGAAGTGATTTTCTGCTATGGATTCAGTATCATGTACAACAAATGAGGTGGCCACAATAGGCAAACAAAAATGTCTCATGAATCACAAGAGACTTGGGCAGCTGTTGTCAAGGTTCTTTCCTCTTGGGTCCTGGGAGAGAAGGAGAGAATGTCTTGATGCTCTATAAAGTCCTCAGAAGAACAAAGACATTCACAGCTTGATGTGCCTAAGTACTGGGAAGCATTTTCTAGGAAGGCAATGGGTCCTCTGGGCCCAGGGTGCTGGAGGAGCCAGCCCAGGGCCACACAGGACACAGATGTGGTCTTACTGCCTGGAAATAGCCTCTCATGTAACCCTGGCCATCAGCTGGAAAGCAGTGGGGTAATCTGTGCCCATTGGCTTCTTCTAGGTTTAGGGAGTGGGTTACTCATATCCATTCAATCCCTGAATCTTTTCTGTTTACTTTTTCCTATTTTAGAATCAGTAAGGGATTTCTTTCCAAACTCTACTTCATCAGAGGCTGCTGAATCAGGGTAAGCGTTCTCCCTCAGAGCATCTTTACAGCAACAGTAAGAGTTATGCTCTAAATGTTCCTGTCTCTCCTTTCTACCCACTCTGCACCAGCAATCAAAAAGAATGATGCTCTGCTCTTCTGAAACCCATGTGCAGTGAGAGGTGCAGTGTGCTGAAGAGATACGTTTCTCCTAATACTGTTGAGAGATATTACTTGATGTTGGGTCAGAAATACATACCCCAAACTCTGTCCCCAATCTTTAGATTCCTACCATGTACCCGACCTCCTTTTGCTGCAAATTGCTTCATCTTTCTTTGATACTTCTGTGTGCTGGTGACTAAGAAAATCCTGATGCTTTCTTGGCTGGGATGGAGGGTGTGTTTTCATCACATTTGAGTCACTTGGTGCTCAGCTATGTGAAGAACCCAGACAAAATTAGTTGGAAGTGCAGTATATGCAGCTGGTACAAGATGGGCAAATGCGGCGTTTGCTTCCAGATCAATAGCTGGGGGTCAGTCTGTCTGTGGCAGCTCTGGTGGAGTTAGAAATCATTATGCATAAATATATTCTATGGATTTTATAGTAAAATAATCCATATAATAACACAATGTCTCACATTACTTTGCAACACAGTATCTGTGAACTTTCCTATAGTGGTAAACAGGGCAGGCTTCCTCTCCCTCTCCCTCTTACCTTAAGCTTCCTTCAAGAATGCAAAGCTGCTCATCTGAGATGACAGACCTGACTATGTTCATTTCAGCTTCTTTAGCAGGGACTATCTGGGGTGTTTCTGCTCTTCTTTTAGAGTCCCTTAGTGGCTGCTGTGAACGTGCCTTCCAATTTGTCTACCAACTTCTGTTTTGTCATCCGTATTTCTCCCAATCTAACCTCCCACATCAACATCCATGGCGAAATATGAGGTTATCATGATCCTCCCGACAAACATTCAACCATTCTTCATTGTGTTCGCTTCGGGATGGCTCACAACCTGCTTTTTATTGTGTGATGAGCCTAGCAAAGCTCCCTTCTCCCAACTCCATGGGTCCCTTTTCTCCTCATTTACCCTCAGTTTGTCAGACACAGAAACACTGCACTGTCTTTCCTAACTGCTTCTGATGGTTTTTCCTTCTGATCCACCTGTTAACAATGTCTTCTCTTCTCTCTGACATAGCTCAGAATGGATCCAATGGTTATATTATCTCTGGTACACTTAATAAGCATTTCTATGTTTCTTACCATTGTGTGTGTCTGGTAGAATACATTCTTCTCTCTTATGTTTGTTTCATTTCTAATGGCCTATGCTTATAATGAAATTGTAGTGTAATTGGAGGACATTTCCTAAAATAGTCTTGAATTTTAAATGTTTAAAAGTGGTAATGAAAGCAAAGTCTGACTTTCTCTGTCTTGACTGAGTTGGCCAAGTGGTTAAGGACATATCTCAGTGTGTCAGACAAACCTGGCCTTCAGTTCAATTCTGCCTGTACCTCTCTTTAACTCAGAAATATAATTTAATGTGTCTTAACTACAGTGTCTGTTATCTAAAATTATAATAGCTGTCTCATTAACATTAGTTTATAGATTAGATGGGATATTTTATAAAAAGAACTAAGAAATCTTCCTGACATTTAGCAAATGTTCAGTAACTTATTATTAGAGGATGCAGTGAACTGTTAAAACTCATCAAAAGACAGAAAATTCTGGTCCATTGCTACCTCTTGATTATGAGGAATATGTCAGTGAAACCCCAAGACTTCCTATTTTAGTAAACAGGAACACTTCTATATAATAAGATAACTCTCTATGATTTCTTCTTGATCTTTCCTTTGTCATCTTCTATATATAATCCATCAATTACCATAAAAGATTCTATCTCAAAAATGTATCTCAAACTCACCCTCTGAAACCCCAGGCAAGGCCACTGTCACCTTCTCTGAGAACCCCAACTTGTCTGTCCACTCTTCCTCCTGTCTCCACAGAGTCCACTTTGAAATGACAGTTGTCTTTCCATACATGGCATGCAGGGCCCCCTTCACCTTTAACTCTCTGCTTGCCCCTATTGCATTTAGGCCACTACTCAGATCCACACCCCCTTATTTTACCATCAGAGCCTTCTCTGCTCTGGCCATATCTACATTCCCTCCCCCTCCTAGCTCAACAGGACAACAACAACAACCGGAGCCTCATTTCAGCTCAGGTCTCCTTCACCTCAGGTTCTCAAAGGGCCCAAATGTCACCTCCTCAAAGACCTGAGAGGCATCCCATATTATACCAGCATTATTTTCTGGCTTTTAACCTTCATAGAAAATACCTCAAATTTTATGATACGTTTTTTCCCTTAATTTTACCCAGAGACCCCATCCTCACTCTCAGACACTTACAGCTCCATGGCAGGGGGCCCATGATTATTTTGTTCCCCTCTCTGCTTGACTCACAGCAGCTGTACCTCTGTCATACTGGCCTAGACCTGTCTGCACTACTGTGGACAAGAACCCCTTTAACATTCATTGTCATTTATAGTTTATATAAAGTATCATTTGCTTTATCTCATTAGCATTTTAAAATATTTTATTGAGTTTTTGTGCATTTCATCCAAAAGTTCTTAAACTTAGACCCCCTCCCTCATTCATACTCCCACATACCCCCCACAGGACCTCATGCATTCTGTCATATATGTTAAATACTATCCAGTTAAGCATTTATACCCTAACCCTAACCCTAACCCTATACCCTGACATATTTCAGTGCAAGTTCATGCACTGGAATTTAGTCAGCCCATCTAGAGATCTTAAGGAAGGTCAGCTTTCTCTCACCCAGCAGTAATCAGTTGCCAACAGTTCCCAGGCTAGGGCCCACCCACTGCCCCTCGTTCCATGCTGAGCCCTTGACTGAGTCGGCGTGGGTCTTGTGCATGATGCCACCATCGCCAAAAGTTCACAAGAACTTGGAAGCTTCTCTGTTTCCCTATGTTCATGGACCAACCCTGGCTCTTACAGTTTTTATTAGCATTTTAATCCACAGTGGCATTTATCGAACACATTAATATTAACATTAATAAAAGAGGAAAACTGGGTCTCAGGGAGGATAGGGTTTCAAAGTCACATGTCCAATCATTCAAAGACTTGTGACTGGAATGCAGTCCTGATTTTTCACAGTGAAGAGCCCTTCTCTCCTCATGCCACTGTATCATACACCTCAGACAGTGACCTGTCCTCTCCATCTCCACTGTATCATACATCTCAGACAGTGACAGGTCCTCTCTGTCTCCACTGACGACAGAAAGTAAAGAAAACAGTGGTATGTGAAGGCTAACCCAGCTATGAGGAAGAACCCCAAAGTTGTGAGCACATAGGGGCAGGAAGGCTAGGGCATCCTTTGAAATTTGCAGATGTAACATAATGCATGGAAGTTTGCTAGTTTACTTTAGAACTATTTGTAGATGCAGTACTGGATATTAGATAACGCATGGCATTAGATTTAGACTTGCACATAATTATTGCCCTTCTATCAGTGAGAACTTGGAAATTTGCTTAATACTTCTCCAATACCACATCATCAAAATGGCAATAATAGCATATAGGTAAAGATGATATGCGGGAAATAAGTTATGCTATAGCTTGTTAATTATGCTACATGAAGCTATCTAGCTTATAATATGTTGTTAATTCATACAAAAAGGCGACAGGGATGAAAGATCGTAACTGGATCATTAACTCTGACCAAGTGATTCTTTCCTCTCAGGAAAGCTAAATCCTGGATCTTTGATATGGAGGTGGAGAACCAGACACGGGTCACCACGTTCATTCTGGTGGGGTTCCCTGGGAGCTTGAGGATGCGGGCAGCAGTGTTCCTGATGTTCCTTGTGGCCTATATTCTGACAGTGGCTGAAAATGTGATCATCATCCTCCTGGTGCAGCAGAACCGGCCGCTGCACAAGCCCATGTACTTCTTCCTGGCCAACCTATCTTTCTTGGAGACCTGGTACATCTCCGTGACTGTGCCCAAGCTACTGTTCAGCTTTTGGTCCATGAGTAACAGCATCTCCTTCACCAACTGTATGATACAACTTTACTTCTTCATTGCACTCATGTGTACAGAATGCGTCCTTCTGGCAGCCATGGCCTATGACCGTTATGTGGCCATCTGCCGCCCACTCCACTACCCCACCATCATGAGCCATGGGCTCTGTTTCCGTCTGGCTCTTGGTTCCTGGGTCATTGGTTTTGGCATCTCTTTGGCAAAGATCTACTTCATCTCCCGCCTCAGCTTCTGTGGCCCCAATGTCATCAACCACTTCTTTTGTGACATCTCTCCAGTACTGAACCTCTCCTGTACGGACATGTCCATAGCTGAGTTAGTGGACTTTGTCTTGGCCCTGATCATCTTCCTCTTCCCACTGGCAATCACTGTTCTGTCCTACGGATGCATTCTGGCCACTGTGTTACGCATGCCCACAGGAAAGCAGAAGGCCTTCTCCACCTGCACTTCCCACCTCGTGGTGGTCACCATCTTCTATTCGGCCACTATTTTCATGTACGCCCGACCCCGAGCTATCCATGCCTTCAACATGAATAAAGTCATTTCCGTCTTCTACGCCGTTGTCACCCCGGCCTTCAACCCTTTCATTTATTGCCTAAGGAATCGAGAGGTCAAAGAAGCTCTGAAGAAACTGTTCTATTTCCAGGCCGATAGATCTGACCAGTCCATTATGAATTGATTAGAAAGAAAAGATTGCCTGCTCTGTTTCCCTACAACCATCCTTTTCTAATGCCCTAGCTCAACGTTCATGTTAATATGATTTCACCACGTCCACACTAATCTCGGACTCCTCTATGTATTTTTTTATGTGGTCTGTGCTCTTGGGGAATGCACACAATGTGGACAGTTAGAGAAAAATAATTCTCTTTGACTGTAACCCAACACGGAGCTTCCAAGATTGTAGGTAAATTCTTAACTGAGCTAAACATTATGAGAGATGGTGCTGTGTTAGTCGGCCTGTGTTGGGAAGATGGACATTGTGAGGTCGAAGGACCTCATGGTGCTTCTCACTTTCCCACCTGTCTGACAGGGGCAGTTGGAGCAACTTCCTCAGAAGTCCCATTGTCCATGTGCTGGAGTCAGTCTTGGCGGCAGAGACTAGAGGCTGTTCCTCAGATCATCCCAGTACTTTTTGTTAGCACCTACTTACCTGAGTAAGTACCCTTTCCTGAGCAGTACTCGTTTTGTTTCCAAGGGAATGCTTTTTGTCTGTGAGTGGACCATGCTTTATACAGCCTATGCTGCTGTTTGATAAAATCTAGGCAGTTTCTTCTTACCGAGCTCTGCATTTTCCCTTCACAATGTTTGCTGTCACAATGTTTATTTATATCCTCTGATGGATGAGCATAAAGTAGGCGATGATACGTATTAAATATATTCAAAGCCAGATAAATTACCCTCATTGGTTCCCTGTCTTCTGAATCCAATGTTCTCTGTCTCCCTTCTTTTTCTTCTCCTAGCGTTCTTTCTATATGTGACCACCCTGATTTAAGGTAACCAAAAGGTACTTTCTTCCATGCCCCGGTGATTCTAGACTCTACTTTTCTGCCACCCTACATAAGGCCTTTCTAGTTAGATGCATAGATATGTTCACCTTTGTCTCATAGCCTTGCCAATGACACAGATCTACTGTAAATAGAGTATAGCATGAGTCTATTGCTTGGGCTCTAATTATTGTGAGCAGTTTTAAACAAGAGTACTCATCACATTTGTAACAACTTTCATCCAAGTATAAGAAGCACATTTAAAGTAAGAGGATTCGGGCTGGATTGTTTGCTCATTTACAAATTGCCAGTACAGATATTCAATAAAGTTTAAAAAAACTCCCCTAGATAATGAAAAACAAAAGTTGAAAATCCAGGTAGCTCAGGCCTGGGCTCTGAGTCCTTACTCTAGTGCATGGGGCCTCCCTAGGGAGAAACTTCCTTCTTCAGAAGCGAGATGTGAAAGCTAATTGCAAAGGGATTGAGAGCAATTATGAATTACAGTAGTGAGAGCACAAGTGAAATATAGTGAACTAATATGAGACACAGGCTTTAGGAAAGAAAAGAATCAGAGTTGAAATGACACATCACTGTAGAGAATATACCTAAAGGTATAGTAGCAAAGTAGAGAGTATAGCTCAGAGTCACACAGGACTCTGCCTCAACAGAAAAAATGATGCATAGCAGTTTAATAGGTAGTTTAATAGGTAAATTCTCACAAAACATGCGTCAATGCCCCCAGACAGACGTTAGTGGTGTCAATGTGATGTCATTATGTTCACACCAATATCAGGCCCCTTTGCTGATCTTCTCATGTGGTTTGTACTGTAAGGACACGTGCACTATGTATATATCTAGAAAAATAATTCTATTTTCCTCTAATGCAACAAGGTATTTCTAAGAGGATAGATAAATTCATAACTGAGTTAAACAGGACAAGAGGTAGTGGTGTGTGAGTTGAGTTGGCCTGTCTTGGATCATGCAAGCACGAACAGTTCTGAGATCAAAAGGTTCTGTGGTGCTTCTCGAGGCTGAGGATCAGCTTCCTCAACAATCCCATTTAAGCCAGACTGCTTTGCTTAAAGTGATTTTTTAGGGATAACCATGATATAAGTCTTGTGATCAGTTTACCAGAGAGCAAGCTCTGAGCGTATGGTAATCAAAGACCAAACTTATAAAGACCTTTACAAATCCAAACCAGATAAAATCCCAGTATGGAAGAGGGAGATGGGCAAGAAGTTCCCCTAGCTGAGGAACTATTGGCAACTGATAGCTGCTGGGAGATGGAGAGTCTGTTTTCTTTAAGGATATGTCTTGAGGTAGTTTGACCACAGTACAAGGAATGTGACCACACCCGGGATCATTTTGGGGCCGCAAATTAGACTTCATAGTCCTTAAAAAAAAAAAAATAATACAAGCTGGGCGTGGTGGCGCACGCCTATAATCCCAGCACTGGGAGGCAGAGGCAGATGGATCTCTGTGAGTTCAAGGCCAGCCTGGTCTACATAGTGAGTTCCAGGACAGCTGGGGCTATAGGGAGACCTTGTCTCAAAAAGACAAAAGAAAAATAATAATGCAGGACATAAAGTGATCAGGGTAGTGAGGTGGGAGTGGTGGATCTGAGATGAGATGGTGAGGGTGTCTGAATATGATAAAAAAATTGTATGAAATTATTAAGAATTAATAAAAAATTAGTTATTCAACTAATATTTACTATTATATCTGCTTTTCTTATAGGAATACATAACAATAAAAATAGAAGCTTGTCATTCTCATGAGTAGGAGCAAATAACAGCAAATACACCTGTCTAAATATTATATATGTATTACAGTGAGCTGAATGGTTGCTCCTGAAATATATTCACATCTTCAACCAGAAATTCATATTGTGAAACTTTTTTGGAAAACGGACCATTGAAACTTAACAGATAAGGACCCACTATGAGATCACCATGAATTACTTGGATGAGTCTTCAGTACAATGTCAAGTTCTCCATATGGGAGAAAAGACAGGCAAGGAAAGCCTTGGGGAGATGGGGATAGAGATCAGAGTTAGGCAACCATATACCAAGGACAGCCTTAAGCCTGCAGATGTTAGAAAATACAAATAAGGACCCTCTCCTAGAGCTTTCAAAGAAAATATAGTTCTGTTGACAGTGATTTCAGTATTCTGGTTTCCAAAAGTACAAAATATATCCTGCTGCTTTAGGCTACCACGTCTATGGAAACTGTTTATAGAAGCCTGGGCACTTTTCAGAGGCCTGTTGTTTAGAGAATGTCTTGAGAACCAATATCATGTCTTACCTTCCTCTTAAATAGTCATCTACATCTGGATTTAAGATTTAAGTAAGTCATAGTCAGGGGAGAGTGATGACTTGTCTTGCCTGATCACTGAGCTAACTGAATCCCCCTAGCAACCAAGACTGGGAAGTGAGAGGTGATTGCTACCATTCCTTGTTTTGTTCACTGAAACTGAATCACCTCTTTTCTTAAATAAACTCCGTATGTTAATAACCCAGACCCTTTGCAGGGTTGTCTCTGGTCTCATTCCTCCAACCTGGGGATGATCACAGGACTTACAGAAGGCTGGCATTGCCTCATCCCATTGTCTGATTTCTATGTTCACATTTCTAAACAGGGAAGTCCACATAAAGGTGGTTATTTCCCCCTCTTCTTTGGATGACCCTGTGGTAGAAGCTCTTCTGGTTTAGTTTTTAGCCCCTGGAGATGCTTTGAAAATTCTAGACTGGGAGTTATCTATCAATCTAAGCTGAATTAAAGTTTAGTGGACTTTTATTTGTTTTGGTCTCATTAATTTGAGTGTATAATTAAAGCAAAATGCTCAAGTACAAAGTTGGTTTTAGAAAGTCCTACATGTCCTGGAAATAGGCTTTTCACATTTATTTCTCCTCACATGACATAGACTTCGACTGCCACCCTGAATAAATTGAAATAACGGTTTCATGAGAATGACTGATAATGTACAGTTGGCCTCTAGATTATATCCCTGTGAACAAACAACTCCCTATAGCATGAGTAAAAGCTCTCTGTTGGAAGTAGCAAGAATTTCAGAATGTCTCTGTAAGTAGTTCATCTTAGCCACAATTATAATCTAGCTTTGTCCTCCTGGCAGGGCTCAAGTCTACTGGAGTTCCCAACAAGTCCATCTGGGGGCCAAAGACCAATGTGCTTCTCTCTGTCCTCAGACTCAGTCTAAATTCATCTTCTTTCTGGCTGATCTGCTGAAAGTAGCTAATACACTCCAATGGTGTGAAGTTTTATGATCTGGTCTATTTTCCTGTCTATCTTGTACCTCTCCAATGAGGCAAATGTCTGACTCGTAAGACACATGGGAGGCATTTTAACCAGCTGGTGTGATGCCACATTGTGAAGACTGTCAACGTCCTTGCCCAAGAAAGCGTCATTCTCCCTGTAGAATCCTATCGCACTGTAGCCCTTCCCCTCAGTGTCCTTCTGCTACAACTATTTCTGGAACAAGAGTAAATATTGATTAGGAGTCTTTCCAGCATAAAAATGGAAGGCCCAGTTCAAATGGCCAAAAACACTGAGAATGTATTGTCCCACACAATTAAACAGTTTAGATGTCACAGGTGCACCGGTTTATCCATTGAGATGGAACTACCAGCTCAGCAGCTGCTCTTCGAGCTGGAGTCACCTTACACATCACACAAGGTAAGTCATTAGAGGCCTTGCTTTCACAAAGGGGCAACTCCGTGAGTTTCCTGCACTCAATTCGAGACTTCTGCCTCCATATTATCTTCTGTCAAAACCCAGCCTCCTCATCAAAGTTCTCTTAGCTGAGCTCCAGCCTCCCCAACTTACCCTGCAATTTCCCTCTGTGAAAGTGCACACTCTTCTTCAGACAAGGCTTTGATGCTCATCATATCTTTTCTTGCAACTTCAAGTATGTCAAAAGCTTAAGCTAAATAAACATTTTTATCTGTCAATGAGAATGGACATGAGTTCTCCAATGAAAATTCTCCTCTTCCACCAACCTGCAGGTTCCTACTGCAGTGCCTGCTAAGTAAGGATAATTTTGATAGAAAGGCATCATTTTAATTAGTAAGAAGATGTGATGGAGAAATAGCTCCCCATTAGTGTGCTGCAGGCCTGCTCTGTAATGCAGTGGCTGTAGAAATTGTATAGAGAGGCACTGGTCTCCTCTCTCCTCTGCTGTGGATACAGAGGCCCCATCAGAGTCAGTTACAGGCTGCTCTCTTTGTC